CTCTGAACCGTGTTATTGGCGTTGTTCATCAGTGTTATTGCAGTGTCATTGTGGCGTTATTGGAGTTCTTTTGCATGGGTTATTGCGGTGTTATCGCATTGTTATTTGTGTGGTCCTCCGGGCGATGTTATTGGCGCCGATCGTCGGTGTTATTGCAGTGGTATTTGAATTGTTTTGCGGAGTTATTAAAGTGAAACAGTGGTACCTGTGGTGTTTTGGTATTATTAGAGTTGTTTTGTAATAACACTATTATAAGCGTCTTTTCATCATTTTTTACGTAGGTAAGATTTTAATAGAGTATGGACACAGAGTTGCGCTCGAACTCTGTATGGAAATTTTTTTTCCACACACACATACGTATGAAAAAATTAAATACAAATACAAATATTGGAAAAAAACAAATATTGGTAGGAAATCAAATACAAATACTGGTAAAAATAATTTGCATAATTAATTGTTATTTACAAGTTCAAATAACAATAAAATATAAATTTTTATTTTAAATGTTAATTTAAGGCACTGATATATTGAAAATATAAATTATTGAAATTAAAAAATAAATTTAAATATTTTGTCAGAGCACTTTATAACTATATTTTTAAAAAAATGCATTAAATAAGCTTTATACAAATTAGCTTGATGTGAACCCAACCCACATATTGTTTGCTTTTGTAATATTCAAATAAAGAAGAATTCATTTTCTATTTAAAGCCAAGTCTTTATTTGAATGTATAATTAAATATAATAATTTTTTTATAGGTGTTTATTATACAATATGACCAATGTTATTAATTTATCAAACATTAGTTGTACCAATAAATCTACTATATTTAATGGCAAAAATGCAAAAGAATAAATAATATTGTAATTACAAAAATTAATTTAATATACAAGAATATGTAAACAACTATATCTCTGCTATTTTATTATGAAGAAAAAGAGAAATTGGACTTAATAGAAATAATAAGAATAGCACCCCTATATATTTATATTATTTTTAATAAATAATAGTTATTTATCTCAACATGAGGGTACAAAGATAAAAATTTATTTGAGGTTAACTTAACAATAGTAATGATACTTATTTAATTATAAGTATACAATTAAATGTGTTAACACTAATGATTAATTGAAAGAGATGTAATCCACCTAATCTAAGTTATGTCATAATCCATCTGACTTAATTATTATTATTGAGCAATAAATTTATAGAGTATGCAATGATGCGGTATTTATGTAAATACATAAGAGTTGGGTGACGATGTAAATGCCATGGAAATCAGAAATGCGCCAACACGAATCCCAATGAGATCGAGCAGTCCAGAAGAAAAGAAGTACAACAAAGAGGGTCCACAGGAAAGGAAGTACAACGAGGAGGGTCAACTAACGAAAAATCAAAGGACTCACTTATTTGACCAGATGGATCGCCATGAACAAGGGTGGAGGCCAACCCGGTGTAGACCATTCGAATCAAATACTAAAACTAATTGAGTTGAGCAGAGACATTGACCTATCTATCAGTTCAACCTGACTTCCTGACTTGGGAAAAGAGTTTAATATCACCAGCCATTTCACAAATGTCTTTGAGATTTCTCATTAGGGGCCAAGAATTGTCAATAACATAGCCCACAAGTACCCTGAAGACCCTCATCGTCAAGGAATGAGCTATCTATCAAGTTACTGTGATTCACACCCTACTCGATAGTCTAATCTTATTCTATCGATATGAGCTCCTCATCCAAAAAACAATAGCCGACAGTCAGAATAGCTTAGTCGATCGACAACATCTAGCCGACCAAAACAATCACACCAACCCAAAATCAGAGATCAATTAACAGACTAAGCCAACTCAACATAGCAAAAGCCTTATCAAATTGAAGCCTATCAAACTCAGTTGATCGAGCCATAAAATTAGGACTCGACATCATATTTGCTTATTAATTATTAATATTTTATAATTTGAAATCATAGATACAATAATCAGTTTTGCTCTGGCCCGCCCCTTCTCCAACGGCTCCTAAGAAAAAACATAAGGGAATCGAACTCACGTCGCACACAATTCCAAATTGTGGATATAACCGTTAGTTTCCTACATTAATCGCCACAAAGCAATCAAACTCTGAAAACTCCGAGCTTCTCAGCTCTGCATTCCCATGGCTTCTTCCTATTCCCCCCACCTCCCTTCTCCCAACGATTCCGACATCGACCTCATCATCTCCGAAGCCACAGATCTCTGCATTCTCGAACAGATCGCCGCCCTCAACACCGCCCATCTCTCCGACTTCACCCTTTCCACCGACCTCGAATCCCGCTTCAGAAAGCTCAAAACTTTCCCCGGATCCAATCTCCCCTCAAAGCTTCCTTCCCATTCTTCCCTTCAGGAGAAGGAGAACATGCCCTCTTCTTCAATCCAACCCGAGAACTTGAACGAATCAGATGAATCCAAACCAGAGGTTATCTCAATCGCAAGTCCGAAACCAGAGAGATTAAAGGATTTGAAGGAGTTACGAACATCAACTTCGGTGGAGAGAAGGTCTCCTTCGCCTACGCGTGTGATGTGCTGCTTTGGGTGCTCGCCGAAGAAGATGGTGCAGAGGAGAAAGGGGAAACAGTATGAAGAGATATTCCTGGAGTTTGGAGTCTCCTCCATGAAAGAACACAGGAAGAAGTTGGAGAAGGTGTTGAAGGAGCAGGAGAGGATGAGCAGAGAGGTGGAAAAGATGGTGGAGGTCATGGAGGAGGCTGCTGCGAGGATGAATGAGGAAACCATGGATGAGCTCATGAGAGGAGATGGAGTTGAAGAGTTTAAGTAGACGGCAATGGTATTTTGGCATCTCATTGTTCTTCTCTACATGCTGTAGGTTGAGTGTTATTTTTTCTTTATTTTTTCTGTGCATGCAACATGTCTGTCGAAATGTTTCTTTGGGTTCTCTATTCAGCATATAGTATTGAGATTTTTACAAATGCACATGGCAAGTCATTTTGTTAAAGTGAGAGTAAGAATCAAATTGAGTATATAGATCTGTAAATGTACTACATAGTGCTTAAACAATGAACTTTGCCAGTATCATTTAAATTCTTTTTAGGCCTTGTTTGGGTGGGATTAGCTTAAAGAGAGTAAGTGAAATGAAAAAGGAAATGAAAATGATAAACATATTTGAATTAAAACTAGGTGTTGGGTTAATGAGATATTAAAGAGGAGACATTAATTTTTTGCTTATTTGAGAGGACTTATGAGCCATAATAATGATTTTATATATGTATATATTTTTAATACAATAACAACAATAATAAGTTTTTATCCAACTGAGTGGGTCGGCTACATGAATCTTTTTTCTCCATTGTGTCATATTGAGCGTCATATTTTCATTTAATTCTAATAATTTAAGATCATTTTTTATATAACATGACCTGGTCTCCTGCCTCTATCTTTTAGGCCTACCGCTACCTTTCTTAACATCTACTCTCCAAAACGGATGATCAGATGGTCAATGTTTAATGTGACCAAACCGTCTAGGATGACTATCTGGAGCTACACTAACCCTTTCACGGATATATTTGTTTTAATCTTTCGTTAAAATTGACAACATAAGTCGAACCCAAAACATCTACTCTCCTAACCGGATCATCAGGCGGTCGATGTTTAATGTGACCAAACCATTTAAGATGACCTCTCTAATCTGTCACTGGAGATGCACCAACCCTTTCACAGATATATTAGTTTCATTCTTTAGTTAAAATTGATAGGTTTCATTGACATACTAAGCTACACACACACACACACGTTTGTGTGGTGTGTCCGTGAAGAATAGGAGATGATTTGATCTGACTTGTGTTTATATTTATGTTTACAAAGATGATGAAAATATCCTATTTTGAAACCATGATGTAAAACATTTTTTTATATAGTAGGTGCTAGAAGTTCATGGTTTTGTATTTATTAGTGATTGAGTGTAAGGAATTATATTATGTGATAAAAGTCCTCATCTCTTTAGTGTTGCTATTATGATATATCATGAATGTTAGTAGCTCCATGTCTTTAACTGATGGTTATGATTAGATTGATCAAGTTCTTCCTAAGGTAAATGTTGAATCAAGGGGGGAACTTATTACAAATAAATGTGAATTTGATGTATAATTAAAGTTTAGTTCATGGTTCAAAGATCATGCAGGTTAAAAACGAGAGAGTTATAGGACTAACTTTTTTGAGGTTATAGTACAAGCTTATATAAGGCTATACATAGCCAAGAGATTAAAGCAATATAACATAATATAATAAATATATTCTCAATAATAAAAAAAATATTATAATAAGAAATGAAAAGAATCTTATTATAAATAATTTAGGTCATATAGTAATTTAGATATGATGAAACCAACGAACTTAAGAAAAGCAATATAAAATAATATAATAAAAATATCCTCAATAATAAAAAATATATTATAATAAGAAATAATATAGATTCTTATTATAAATAATTTAGGTTATATAGTAATTTAGATATAATGATATCTATAATGCCTCCACATGGTTGGATAGGCTCTTGTTGCATGATAATTGATATCAAAAACTTTCATTTGAGGGTTCACATATATATAATTGGCTCAAGTTCACCTCCTAACAATTGATATCAAAGCCAATGATTCAACCAGCAACAAAAGGCTTATATAATTTAGGAAAACTCACATGCATACCACCCAATTCTTATGTATTTACATATCCAACATCCGAACTTTAATTTTTACATATATGCCACCTTACATCTGCATAAAAAAGTGTATTCCAATGTTTAAAAAGTTGAAATGATGGTAATTTTGATGTGATATGAAAGATTTGGGCGGTATAAATGTAAAAGCTAAAGTTTAGGTGTTAGAATAATTGGAACTTCAATTTTTTCAAAACTGCTCTGCCATTAACATACCAGTTTAGATTAATTGGAATACAAATGTAAAGAAAATGCAGAAAATTATATAAATTTGCATGAACAAATAACTGGCAATAAGTGTAAAGCTGCAAAATTCAATAATGGAAACGCTTTTACGTTGAATCGATATATCACAAATTTCATGAAGTCATAGTAAATTAATAATAACATCATTTTGAAAAAAACTAAGTCACTTTACATTTCAGTACATTCTAACCGAGCTAATGCACTCATCTTACAACCCAAACCATCGACAAATAGGCAGTGGACCTTAAGTAAAGATGAAACTCAAATCGAATGGTAATAAAATTTTTTAAACTTATCTTGTTCCGAAAAATAGCTCTTTTATGGATTGAAATGGTGAACTGTATCCATGAGCTATTCTATCTTGCTGTGCAGCCATTCCTGATTGAATTTACATAGAAGAATAAGATTGCAATATGTAGATAAGTAAATAATTCCATGCAAAGGAAAAATAATTTGCAAAGCTCATTTTTTTTAGTATTTGTTCATGAAAAAGATAGGCGGATTTGGAAAAAAAAGATTTCAATAGCAAAAACTGATAGCAGTAAGAGAAAGTAGAAAACCTAGACAGGTGAGCATGATCACTGTTGAAGCCCAGAAAAATTTGCTGCTAATGCTCTTCAAACTGTAATGCAAATAGAAGCCTGATCACTTTCAAATATATATGTAATGAAAATAGAAGCCTGATCACTATCAAATATATAAGGAAGATTTACATATATACCACTCAATTCTTATGTATTTACATATATAACACCTAAAATTCAATTTTACATATATGACGCGTTACTAAGGAAAAACGTGTATTCCACATTTTAAAAAATAGTATATTTCACTTTTTAAAAGTTAAAATAGAGGTACTTTAGATTTAATATGACAGATTTGGGTGGTATAAATGTAAAAAATAAAGTATAGGTGCTAGATATGTAAATGCATAAGAATGGGGTGGTATGCATATAAATGCCCTAGGAAATAATATGAAACTGCTCTTAGAGTACAGAACATGAAAGCAATTATAATTACCAGTACATCCAAGCCAAATTCCCCCACCCCTGAAGCAATGATGCCCATGTTGCCCCCGTAAACCTTCAAAGTCTTACATAACGTTCAGAGATTTTAAATGTGCTTAGTTTAAAGAAATATATATGGGAGTCAATGATGCTAACACTTGCAAAGATAGAAATTGTAAACATATTTACATAGAAAATAATGAGTTGGGTAATGCATGATTCCAAAATAGAAACAAAATGCGAAATGAATATATCCGTGATAGAGTTAGTGTTGCTCCAGTGACGGACAAAATTAGAGAGAGTCGTCTTAGATGGTTTGGTCACATTAAGCGTCGACCATTTGATGATCAGATTAGAAGAGTAGATGTTTTACATTTGACTTGCGTTAAGAAATAAAGAGGTAGACCTAGGATGATTTGGGCATATTGTATAAAAAAATGATCTTAATTTATTAGAATTAAATAATTTATTAGAATTAAATAAAAATATGACACTAAATTGGATACAATGGAGAAAAAGGATTCATGTAGCCGACCACACTTAGCGAGATAAAGATTTTGTTGTTGTTATTGTTGTTATTGTTTTTGTTGTTGTTGGAAATACATGATTCCAAGATAGAAAATTAGTTTAACTAGAAATGTAATTATTTGAAACCTCATATAATATATTGTTTCCCTATAAACAAAATAAGAAACATGAAAAGGAATAAAAATCATACATTCTTATTATATGCCACAGGACTTGTATCAAATAATTGCTTGCAGAGGCTTAAGCATTTGATAAAATAGTAAAAAATATAATAAATTTAATAACTAGTAGAATCAAAAGAGTAACTTTGAAAAGTATCAAATGTTCACCACCTCCTCTAACTTTACACAAGATACATTTGATGCTTATAAAAACAAGGAAAAAAGCAAAAACTCAAGAAGTCAAGAAGTAAAAGCTGAACAATTTTGGGGAAAAAAAACAGCTGTGGAAACTTTCATAACATATTTGAGGGGTGCATACCACATGAGATCACGAATGAACAAAGCTCGAGGAATCATCAAACCATTCCCAATCATGCCGAGCAGAAGTGTCAAAGCTGCTAATCCTCTTATATTATCAGGATTTATGTAGTTTGTCCACTGCATATATATCAAACAAAAAGGTAAAAATGAGAATCTTCTAATGGTTATTGTTGTAAGACCATGAAAATACCAACATGTAAAGAAATCATACCATCTGCGCAACAGGCATCCACATAAAGAGTAGAGTGGCAGTCCATCCAGATATCGATCTGACATATCTAACCGCCTTCTTAGAAAGTTTACCAGTTCGTGTCTGTAAATCTTAATAAATAGCAGAATCAAAACTATTGTGTTTTCAACTTATTTTCAAAGGTTGTTAGAGAATCTCATTCATCCATATCCTAATTAATGTGAAATTACTATTGCCCATTGCCGTCAGCTGAAAAACACCATTTCAAAACATGGTTGTGCTATTATAATTTAAGTTTGCCGCAACATGTCTTTGATTTTACAGCATGTTTCCAATTATTCACATAACAACTCTTTCAAACTTGGACATATTATGACACATTGACGATATTTATGTTTAGAGCTACTATTTGGCACCCTTCTCACACATATTGTGATCATATCATAAACACACGCAGCTACTTGGCGTACAAAGAGTTATCTTCATTTTCATTGTTCAAAGCAAGTCATTCCTAAGTATGGATATCACAAGATTGTTATTCAACTTCGGGATTTAATATCATCGAGTTAAGGGGATTTTTTGGCTATATAAAACATCTGCTAACTCCTCCGCACGTGATGTTCCTATAATTTTTAATTATTTTGTGCAACTGTAATCATTGAGTTTTTTTTAATGTCTAATATTTTAGCTCAAACAACTAACATGAAGCACACCTTTTTGCATCTAAGATATATGGTGTCTCAACACAGATGATGATGATAAATCAATGCAATTACACATAAAACATAAATTCACCAACTTGTCTCACCTCCATAACAATCAATAAATATTTGCAAATTTTAAAGATTTTAACACCTTTTGAGAATTTGCATCCAACCACAAGGAGTGTAAATGAATCCTCTTAATATCTCATACTTGGAGCTAGTTTAATATTCATGATTTTATTTTTATGAGCATTTCTTCATATACTTTTTTTCATGTGTTTTATTAACTGAGTCTTATTTACATAACCATTATGTTTTGAGTTATGAGTCATTTTTTGTATTTTAGGCCTATGTTATCAATCACTGTCATGTTATTGAGTTGTAGCGGGAGTGATTGGTAATGTATGTGCGTGAGCTAGCCTATCTATTCCCTTAAACTTATTTGATCATATTTGTAACCGCAATATTATTTCACCTTTATCTCATCATTTAACTAAGACTCCACCTTTGACCTCCTCTGCATCCAACATTTATTAACCTTAGAAGTACTTTTCTTTATTACCTTTTATTGCCATCAAATGCATTAAATATAAAACAAACAATGTGCTTGAACAAAAAGCTTCTTCATGCAAAAGTGGCTGAACTCAATGAACAAACACCGTTTATAAGAAGGGAATCACCAACATTTATGTGATATTGTGAAGTATTCACAATCTTCTATAATATAAGAAATAGGAATTAATCTACTATTACAATGATATAATGGAGATAAAATGAGTGGGGAAAAAGGACATTTTTTTTCTAAAATCCAAATGCATTGAGCCTCACAAAATAAAAACCCCAAAATCCTCGACATAAATAAATAGAAGAACCTCCTAGCGACTTCAAGAGTGAAAAACTCAATAGAAAAATAAATTGAGAGATCTAACCAATAACAACATAATCCAAATAGATGCATCAAGATTTTGAGATCGATATGTTTGTCCATCCCTTGCATTATGAGTGAGATAACAAAGAACGACATGGCCTATATATAATCTTGTTATTGTCCTCAAATATAAATAACTTCAAACTACAAATCAAGAAGTAAGACCTTATTCTATGGTTAAATGATTCAATAAATTTATTAATAAACATCTTTTTAGAGATTCCATAAGGAATGATTCAAAACAGATAACTTCCGTCCCAAGTTACCATCAACTACAACCCAAAAGAAAAGTATGGTTTTCGCTCTTAAGAAAACTTGTGGCTCTTACCAAATCAATTTATTCCATTTATGATATTAATTACGAACATTACGAACATATTTTTCAAGCAACACTAATACTAAGACACTAATACTAAAACACAATAGTATAGAAGGAAAAATTAATAGTGGTATGATATAAAATGAGATTGATTTGTAATACACATAAATAGTGGTATGATATAAAATGAGATTGATTTGTAATACACATAGATTAAAACAACACAGAGTGTTTTATTGTGATCAATATGTGTCCGCTCAATATTTGTACTGTTCAAGGAACAAGTTTTGGAGAGTTTTTTTAAAGTAAATAATACTACAATTCAAATTGCATGTTAATGGCATGTGTTCGAGTCAAGAATTAGACTCTCCATAATGGTAGCAATATCAACCTCTCTTTTAACACTTGGCCATTTAGAAACAAGTACTAAAAATGCTTTATATGAAGAGCACAATATTCGATGTGTTGAACGGTACACGTTTTCATCATGGAAAGAAAATGATGCAATATCTACTCCTTAAAGAACTTGCGTCAATCAGAAGCCTCATGTGCTAGATATGCTCTTAAAAATAGAACACAAAACTCGAATACTCGATGTGTACATTAGCCCAAGTTTTCATCTAGATATCAACCACCGAATTTCTCCTTATTTTCTTCTAACTCAAGCACCTGATAATAAGGAATCCCTTGTTGAAATTAGTTGTAAAATTCCTCACTAGTTCGTAAAGAACTTATAAAAGAGAACAAATTAGCCATACTTTTAGTGCTCATACCATCTGCTTCTTATGCAAATTTAAATTAAAGATACAAAATAACCAAAGACCAAATTCCTCCTTACTTTTGCTCTACCTCAAGCACCCAATAATAAGCAACCCCCCACAAAAGATTAGTTATCAAATCCCTCGCCAGTTCATATCACAATTAATAGAAGATAACAAATTTGCCCTATGTTTAGTGCTAAAACATTATAAATTTCTGCAAATTTAAATTAAAGAAACTAAATGCTCTTTTTACATATTGTATTGAACATACTTCAAAATGACAAGATTGACAGATTGATACCAAAATGATGACCACAATAGCCAAGCTACAACAAATAAGCCCAGGCAAATTGCTACTTGGAATATACGGGACAAATGTCGACCACATAACCTGCATCAAATGAGATGAATGAGCACACACATCTAATCTTCACCACCATCACAAAAACATCTAAAACTCCACTAATTCCCACAAACTCACCTGTGGAAGAACAGAAATTCCCACAATGGTGATAAAATCCTCCCAAATCTGCCAAACCCATTGTAGAAGCCATCCATAATAGTTCATGAAGTTCAGCACAAGCCCAGCAACAACAGCAGCCGACGTGGCCGTAAACTGCAGTAAAGGCATCGCTCCGGCGACGGCTAGCTGCACAATCACAATGTAGATAGATACAACACCCAATGTTTGAACTAATATGGCCTCCTTCTCTTTCTTTTTAGCAAAGTAGGAGAGCAATGTGAGATTTCCAAGTAGACAAGTAAGCATCCCCTGCATCATATTTCTTTCAACAGATTACTTATATTCAGGTTAGCTGCACGTAGAATTTAGTAAATTTTGAAAATTTTGGATTTAGTAAAGCTTAAGAGGGATTAAAATACGAAAATTGTTTGACATGACAAATGTTAAATCTTCTTATATCTTAAGGAAATTTAAATGCCTAGCACACAATTCTTATGTATTTATTAACTTTTTATATTTACACACATGGTACTTTGGTGCTTTAGGCCTATGCATCATGAAATGGTGTATTTTATTTTAAAAAATGGTAAAAGTGCTATTTTTGTATGTGTAGATATAACACTCATATTTTAAAAGTGGTAAAGATTTGAGTATTGTATGTGTAAATATGAAAGTTTAGGTGTGAGATATGCAAATACATAAGAATTGTGTCCATGTATGTAAATGCCCCAAAAACTTAATTTTTGTTTAGCTAATTGTTTCAAGATTTAAGACTAGTGAGAGTGAGAAATAGTCAAATCTGTTCAATTATGTATGATGGAATTCAAAAAAGATTGGACATTAATAAAAAGATAAATCAGCATTAACTGAAGAGCATAGAGCTCACAAGCCAGGGAACAGCGAAGAGAGCAGCGGAGTTGTTAGAAGCTAGGTTTCGCTGATTGAGGAGTATCTGTGGGATCTGAATAAGAAGAAAGGGGATGTTAGAAGCTCCGGCGAAGCGGGCGGTCATGGAGTCCCATTGCCCTCCCTTGGAGACCGCCTGGATGGGTTTTCCAGGAGGGGTTTTTGAGGAGAACGCAGCAACCTCTGAGACGCAAGAATGGAGGCGATGGAGGAGAAGTTGGTTGGGAAGAAAATGGTGGAATTTGAGAGACAGATGAGAGGTGATGAAGTCCGGCGGCGCGGCGTAAGAGAGCATTGAAGGGGAGAGAGTGGAGGACTGCTCAAACTGGGGGATAATTCTATAAATTTGGATTTTATAAATCCGGTTAAATTTCTCAAGTTTTTTTTAGTTAATTTTTCAGTTTATTAATTTAAATAGGTTTAAGGATAATTAAGTTTTATTAGAAATTAATAATTGAAATTTTAAATTAACTATTTATCAATTACTACTTATTATTCATTAATTTGTAAAAAGATAATATTTCAATTTCATAGTAATTAGTAATTTAGTAACATAGATAAATTTTAAAAAAGAATTTTATTAAACTAATTCATATATCATTACTTTATTATTCATTAATTAGCATAATACAATGTATCCATTAATTATTAACTGATAAATTATTAAACCAATTAAATAAAAATTTTCATTTAAACAAATTAAGTAAGAAATAGTAATTTAATTTTTCTTAAGAATCAAAAGTAATACATTATTTAATAAATTGCAAAAACAAAAAACCAGTAAAAATAACCCTCTAATTTTTATGTAAATAACACCAAAAGGTGTAATTTACTTAAAAAAAATTAAATTTGTGGTATTTTATTAAGCGCATTTTCTGTCTGAATTCCTGACGTTGCTCCACGTGTCGTGGAGGTTATTTCTGAGTTATTTTCATGTTATTTCAGGGTTATTTTCAATAATCTCGAAATAACCCAAAAATAAAGATCGCGGGTTATTTATGACTTATTTCGGGATTATTGAAAATAACCCAGAAATAACCTGAATAACTCAGAAATAACCTATACGGCATGTAGAGCTACGTCAGTAGTCCGCACAGAAAAATTAGGCCTTTTGTTGTGATGTGAAATGTTTGAGAGGTATAAATGTAAAAAGTAATGTTTAGTTGCTAGACATGTAAATACATAGGAACTAGGTGTTATTTATATAAATATCCCAACATTAATTTGCTGCGATTCAATGAAAATAAAGGCATTAAATCAAAATTGAATTATTCTGAATTTCAAGAAACTAATCAAAATCAAAATCTGAAGCCGCCATTGTTGAGTTCAGGGAAGGTAAGATATTGGAGATAACTAAACCCCTTTAAATTAAGGGGTTTAATTATCTCCAACTCTCATCTTCCAAGCCGCAAAGTATAAACGATTAAATCCTTAATCTCATTTTAAGCTCCTAATTAAGGAATAAAACTCCTCTAATTCTTATCATTAAAGGCTCCGGAATGTGCTATTTATAGAACCGTGGTGGTTAATTTTGAAGGTTGGACGAGGGGCATTCATGCAATAAGTGTGAAGTTGAAATTATTCTTATGTTTCAGAGTGCAAAACGCATGGGCTTCAAAAAGCTTCTATGGGCATAATTACATTTTAATTAGGGGTTGTTATATAAACATGCATTTTATTTGAGTATGGTTCTAATTATAAAAAAATTCATGAGAACCTTAATTTTAATATATTTGTGTGCTCGAGCGAGTGAAGTAGTCAAGCTCAGAAAAATAATATTATATACGGAGTTTGGATGCATTCAAAGAACTCGGTATACGATAATGTTATGTATGAAGTCCAGATCGTATGTATTATTCTCTCAAAGCTTACGATGAAAAGCAAAAGCTTGAGCGTGAGAATTTTAAGTCGGCCAAAGATTTGGGGCCCGTTCGAAGTGGTGTTGCAATGGCGTTGTGACACCACCGTTTTGTTAGTTTGGGCAAACTGTGTTTTGACAATTATTTTAAGAAAACTGCAGCTAAAAATTTTGTTTTACCAACTGTCCTGACTAGATGCGGTGACAGCTTTCTAGTTGCGGTCCGACCTGTAAAAAAAAAAATCTTTATAATTGTCACAACTTTCTAGTTGCAGTCTGACCTTTTCAGAATACTTTTCAATATTTTAACATCTGTTTTTTTAATAAATTGTAACTGCCCAAAACAGACTCTTATACATGAACTTGATTCTATAGAGCAATGATCTGCGTGTAAATAGTTCCAAATTACTTGCAATTTGGCTATTTATTCATTTATGTTAATGCTTGGGTTTAAATTTTTATGAAATAAAGACTAACGTGCGTATCATTAAATTTCTATGCACTTAAATTTCAATTATTATATATGTGTGGCATTGTAAGTATATGCGCAGCTCGGTTTTTAAAAAATTAGCAGGCTGGTAAGGATGTAAATATCATTGTTTAGGGTAGCCTGTGTGTAAGTATCCCAAAAGTTTCGGAGTGCAGAACAGACTGGCGGAGCGAAGGGGAGGGAAGGGAAGGGGAAGGGAAATGGTGATCCCAGTATCCCAAAAGTTTCGGAGTGCAGAACAGACTGGGGGAGCGAAGGGGAAGGGAAGGGGAAGGGAAATGGTGATCCTGGAGAATCGAAGGGGGGTTTAGTTCCCGGAGGCGATGAGCATGAAACAAGATCTAGATCAACATCAACAGCACAGTGACCACAGCTCCGACCACTACTCCAACCCACCGCCTCAGCGCCGTCCCCGTGCGGCCGCGGCCGGGGCGGCCGTCGCGGTGGGCTCAGCCACCACTCCACCAGCTACCTCCGTCGTACCAGGAAAGGGAAGAAAAGAACGGGAGAAGGAGAAGGAACGGACGAAGCTCCGTGAAAGGCACCGCCGTGCGATCACCAGCCGGATGCTCGCCGGACTACGCCAGCATGGTAATTTTCCTCTTCCGGCACGCGCAGACATGAACGATGTACTCGCCGCCCTCGCACGCGAGGCTGGTTGGACCGTTGATCTCGATGGCACGACTTACCGGACATCCCCCACCCCACCACCACCTCCTATTCTTCCTCCTCACGCGGCTGCTGCTCCACCGCACCCTCCGTCTCAATTGGTACTTTCGATTCCTTTCGATTCCCCTGTTTACTCTTATCGAATTTCATTTCCTCATTGTATTATTCTATCTGCTTCAATCCTGCCCCTTCTACTTAATTGTATTGACTCCATAGCGTTCATTAGCACGATAATAATTATGGCATATATCTGGCTGATATAGTGATATCTCTGATAAATTACTGCTGTTATCAACTTGCTTACAATAAACTGATGATATTGTCATGGTATGGTGTTTGTGCATATGTAAAAAAATCTGAAGGTTTGTGGAAATATGAGGAAGAAAAATAATTTGCTTGTTGAATTCTTTTCAAATCAAGTGAAAATCTAGTTCAATATGCTCTATGTGCTCATAATTAATGTAATTGTTACTAATTTGCATATTGCTGATGTTCTCCATATGAAGGAGTAATTTATACTGTGTAAATGATCTAGACACACAAGGTTGCTTCTTACTCTTACATGAAATGAAAGAGTCACTTTGAAACATGCACATGCCTGCGACCGATCTTCTACAAGCAGAATTAGAGCTTGGATTGTAATTTGTTGGTAACAATTACATCTCTCACCTAATATCACATCAGAAATAACATTATTATTGTTTTTTAAAAGTGAAATACACCTTTTCATGCAAATTTTTAAAGCACCAAAGAGCTATATAAGTAAATTTGGAAGTTTAGGTGTGAGATATGCAAATTCATAAGAATTGTGTGCTACTTTATGTAAAATTTCCAAAAATTAATTGAAAGTCTGGAGATATGCTAGGAGTCATAAAAGTTATTGTTAAATCGATATTCTAGAATAACATTTGGTGTGCTCATTATTACTTGTTCTCGTGTTACATATTGTTTGCTTGTTTACTTTTAATAAATTTGTTTGCAGGCACCGTTCCAAGTACATTCAATAGAGAGTCCCTTATCTGCCACTTCTATGAAGAATCGTGCGATCAAAGCATCTTTAGACTCTCAACAATCTTTTCTCAAGATTGATGAGGGCTTATCTTCATCTTCGCTTGATTCAGTTGTGATAGCAGAAAGGGATATTAAGAACAATAAGTTTAATAATTCTAGTCCCATCAACTCCTCCGAATGTGTCGATGCTGAGCAGGTGAATATGCGTTTTTTTTTTTATCAACTTGTATCCCAAAAAATAGTGTCATTTACATACGTACTACCCAATTCTTATGTTTTAATACATGACACCTAAACATTAATTATTACATTTATACCACCCAAACATTTCATATCTCACAAAAATTGCCACTATTTTATCTTTTAAAAAGTGATATACATATTTTCATGCATATGGAAGGTAGCATGTATGTAAAAATTGAAGTTTTGATTTTAGAAATGTGGATTCAATAGATTGAATGATATGTGTATAAATCGTCCAAACTATAATTATTAATACTTCACATAAGTATAATCCGAATGAATATTTACCACAAAATTTGTACATTTATAGTGTTTATTGCACCTAAATGAAGAATTAAAGAACTGCCCTATGTAAAAAGATTATGAATGACTTGTCACATTCAAAATATTCAATTTTGTAATTTTCTTTTTAATAACTAGCTAGTCATCTCAATAATATTAATTAGTCAGGTAAAGATATGATGCATTTAGTGGTCTGTTTGGGGCAGCTGCAGTTGTTTGAAGAAGCATCTGTGAAACTGCTGCAAAAGAAACTATTGTTGAAAAAGCCACGGTGACTATTACAAATTTATTTTATTTTAAAAAAGTCAGACCGCAACTTTGTGACAGTCCCCACACTTTAACAACTTAGGTTGTAAAAAACGGCTTCCTACCACGGAGATTTCTAAAAACAGCAAGGAAGTAGTTTTTCAAAAAAAACTCTCGTAACAATCTGAAAAACAAAGCAGACAGAAAGCTGTCCCAAACAAACTCCAATTTAATACAACCTTTCGATCATCTATTTATCCTTCGTTTTTTATGCATTGTCATTCATTAAATGATATAACTTTGCCAACCAAATTCTCCTTCTTATTTATGAAATTGTTGCAGCTAATGCAGGGGGCTTTAGAGCAAGATGGTGATTTTGTTGGAACACCATACATTCCAGTTTATATAATGCTTGCTGTAAGTTAATATGATCTTATTTTATGACTATCTTAATTTTAATTATCATGGACACTGAGACAAGACACATAAAAGATACAACATAGTCATAAGTTAGTATGGCACAATATCTCATACCATAATTTCTTTAATAAATTGCTAATATAAAATATTTAATCAAATTCCGTAATATTAATATTTTCTATAAAAAATCATCACCAAGTACAATATCATATGCATCACAACAAAAGGCTCTAGTATTAATGAAAGAAAAACTAAAATTGGCTTACTTATAATTATACTTTAATTTTTCAATAAGTATACCGATTTTTTATTAACACGCATTAACATTAATCATTTGATATGAATTTGTCGATATAACACTGTATTGTCTACACAAAATTTAGTACATAATATTCAAAAACACACGAAATATGAGTATGTTGATGTATCACTAATTGGATCCAACACATTTGACACAATGATCATCATCCTTGCTAACGCTAATATGCTCTTTACTGTCAACTTGGTCATCATTAGGAAAAAACACAGTTTGTAAAGCTGGCTAAATAAAAATAAAACATAGTTTCACCGGTGTATCACGAGTATGTTTAGACCATTTTTGATTTTTTGTTTATAAACAAATAAAACAGAACATGTTTTTTTAGTTGTTCAGATAAGAATCAATTTAGGGTGTGTAGAGGCATGTATGGGTCCTATAAATGTCCAATGCAGACACAGAAAGATTTTTGAAGAGTCCATGCTGCATATTATTAGAAACTTTCGCTTACAGTTTTTTTGTCATTATAAAATATTGTCGTCTAAACTGTATGTGGTAATTGTTGCACTTTGTCTCAACTTTCTTACCAATTTTGTGAAAGGAATTTTTGTGCTGTTTTAAAGCATAGATCTCCTTCATTAAATTTATGAACTGTATTTTAGTTCAAACTTGATAACTAGGCTTAATATATATAGCATAAAAAATGATTGTGTATTCCTCCACAGTTCATTGCAAGTGATTTTTGTGCTGCTTTACACATCTCCTCCATCTTCATTTCGATTGATGACAAAATTTAATTGAGCGTTCAAATCCTTTCAAATCTATCAGGAGATGGTTATTTTTTTCTCTGGATAGATCTTTTTTGTCTCTTCATACCTTTAATCCTTTGGAGAACTAGAAAATAAAATAAGAGAAGCATGTTTCGGACGCACTTCTGGTATATGGTCTGGCAAGAAGCTAAAATCAGAGAAACAAATGGAAATACTTTGGAAAACCTTTTTTCCAGAAATGATCCAATGCTTACGAATTTCTTCCCATCCGTATATATAGCAGACAGGAAAAGGAGACAACCCTCATGGATTATAAGTGGCTGTAACTAACTAAGTAATTAATAACTAATTATAATTGCTTATAGGAAAATAAAGCAATAGAACATAAAGGATAAGTATTTATCTGAACCAAGGTTGCTATGCATCAGTTTCTCTTCCTAGAGGGAAGTTCTTGAGGACAACTTCCTACACTGCATTATGCATTGGATTTCTCTCTCCTTATCAATCATCCTTTCCACAAGTTATTTTTTCTTCTAATCCTCTGAGCATCCCAAATCTGATGTTTCTATTTTCTTGATTTTTTTTTTCAAATTTTTCGGAAGATATATAGATGCTATAATATTTTTTTTTGCCATTACCACTTTTTTTAAAACACTTTATTTCACTGCGCCTAATCTTGTAAAAGGTTGAACTACCTTGACTGTTCCAATTGATCTAACAAGACTACTTGTAGATAGGTCAGATTAGCTTGAATAGTTTTGAAAATGTGAACCTAATTGAATTTTAATCTTATCTTTGAAGTTTAAATATTATTACTAATCAAGAATTTCTTTTTTGCTTTCCCATTCCAGCTGCATAAATAAGCACTTTTTACTATGTTAAATGTACTATAGTTGCTGGCAGACCCCTTTTAATTAGTTATTTTTTGCTTATGTCTAGCCCAACTTTATCAACGATTATTGCCAATTGGTTGATCCTGAAGCAGTTCGTCGAGAATTGGAGCATTTAAAAGCTTTACATATTGATGGAGTTGTGGTTGATTGTTGGTGGGGAATTGTTGAAGGCTGGAGCCCACATAAGTATCAATGGTCTGGTTACAGGGATCTGTTTAATATAGTTCGTGAGTTCAAGCTGAAATTGCAGGTAATTTTATTTATAGTTTTCAATGGGTAAAACATTTTTTTGTTGAAGTTACTCTTCTCACACACATGTTTATAGAGGTTATTCTTTTCTCTTGCACCTTAAATTATGAATTGAAAATTGTTGTGGACTGACCTAGAAGTTTTCAATTATTGTAGCTTTACATCATAGGTTGGGAAGGATATTCAAAGCCTAGTGGTTTGATGTATTGTTTTTTGCCTACATAGCTCCAATAAAAAAACATCCACTTCAATCAATAAAAACAAAGACTGAGTATATGATATGTAATTTTATTGACATGATTTTAGCAATTATCATTCAATATTACTAAAAGATAAGGTGATTGTTGTTAAGTGTGATAGTTTAAGTATGTTGTGTCAATTATATAGAAAATAGCGATATGGATGATGATATGATTTTAATTGTTAAGCTTGATGGTTAAAATAAAGAAGCACCTTTGGAGTGTTTGTGATAGGAGGATATCATGAGGGCTTAAACCTAAGTTTTATAAAATTATAATTTGGGCGGTGGTGTTAAATATTGCATTGTAAACGAGTTGTTAATATCTAAGTTGAGTGTAATGAAAATAAATTATTAAAACATAAATGTCGCAAAGCTAGGAAGGATGAATTATGAAATAATTTTATTGTAGGAAAGTCTTTACTTACCTGTAATTAAGATACTGAAAATAGACCTTGCGGTTTGAATATGTGCAATGAAGGATATCGCATGCACCCATTAATCAAGTTGATAAAATTAGTGCCACATTATTAGGAATTAAAATGGCTTGACCCGAGATGCGTGTATAGAAACTTTTCAAAATAGTTTGAAAAGAAAATTTAACCTTTTAGATAACACTCACTAGGAACAAACAAACAAGGAGGTTTCACAGTGTTGACCTTAAATAGTTTAGATAAGGGTAATGATGATGATGGAGTAGGAACCATTATTATGCTATAGAAATGGCTTTTTGCTTCAATGGGAGTAACAATGTTTTCTAATAAAAGCTATTAAAGTGGGTAAATCATTATTAGCTTCACTTTTATGTGCTTTGTTTGATAGTTTTGCATTTTTAATTGATTTATGTCGTAGATCAATGTTCATTTTATGTGCTTGGCAATCATTATACATTTTTTTCTGTGTGAGTTTGATGCTCTCAATCTTAAAACACACTAATTTTAGATTGCATTGTTTTTAGTGTCACACCAGAGTTAGGTCAATTAGCAATTATCAAACAAATATTATTACTGAAAAAACCAGTAGGTTGCCGGATCTCGGGCGGTGGTGGTAGCCGTTAGGGGCTTGAAGAGTTGGCAACAAAGTAGGGATGGGTGGACTGCAAGGGAACAACAACACAAAGGTGGAGGTTTGCTGTCCTAGGCGGCAACAAATAGGAATAAGATGGAACAACTGGAAAACAACAAAACAACGAGGGGAGCAATAGCTAGTTTGCAGGGGAAGTGATTCTGGTGGTTGGACTGGCAACAAGGCGGCACGGGGGATGAGTTTGGGTGGTTGGAACAACTCGGACAACACGGGGAATGGGTGGGACAACAGCTAGGTAGTGGCGAAGGGTGGCGAGAGTGGTTGGGAAAAGCTATGGGTGACCGGATATGGCAAGGGGATGGCGGTTAGGTAGTGGCAGATGGTGGGACAACAGCTAGGTAATGGAGGAGTGCGGTAAGGGTGGTTAGAATAGTTGTGGGTGATCGAAAACAGTAGGGGGGGCTGGAAAGCAGGTAGGTAGTATCAAAAAGTGTTAGTGGCGCTGGAATGGTTGCGATAGCGAGGAAGACGAATTTTGGAAGGTGACAACGGATGTGAATTGCAGAAAAACAGTCCCGCTGGGCTGTTCGACAGTTGCAACAGGGAGGAATGACAATGGTAATTGAGAGAAAGTTGCGTAGGATGGGAAACTTGAGGATAATCACCATCTTGTAATGACATACAACCGAATCATCACTTGCCCTTAGATACAACCCTAGAAGGGAAGACTTGGAGATGCTAACGGCTGTCCCGAAAGAAAACACATGTAAAATTAACTCTAAAACAACATAAATACAAATATATAATTATAAGATAAATAGGAGTGGGCTTGAGAGCCGACCAACACTCCACAACACAAGAAAGTCTGGATTGAACCGGTCCAGACAAGATGACACTCTGAGCGCTTACACTTGAGAGGCCCGGTTCCCGCTCCCAAGCGGGAGATGCTCATGCCAATCTCCCGAGGGGGGAGTTTCGACCTTGTTCGTCGAAACTTTTGTTCGAATGTTGAAGGTGACGACACTGTTGTAACCTCCCGAGACTGAAGAATTTTTAACTGCAGCCCTAGAAGCACCTGGATCTTAATATTTGTTGTACTATCTCCCAAAACACCTTAGGAGTTTTCGCCACTTGCAAGCAGCCATCCTTATTGATCCAACTTTCTGGGGGTATACTACGGAACTGAAGTGAGACTGTGTGCACGTATATTCTGTCGAATCCTCCCAAAGCAATCCCAGGTTGACTCAACCTAATATGAAGTAAGGGCAAACTGAATCTCTCTGAACGTCGGCGACCATAACATTAAGCTGTTGAAAATGGCGTCCTAAAACTCTCTCTGTACTAGTTGGCTTGTGCTGAAATTGACTCTCATGTTCTGCTCTCCTTTTTATCACCAAAATTGATTGTACGGTTGCTTCTCTGCCGGCAATGACACCTGTAATCTTGAACTTCGCAGATAGTAGAACTGTGTGCTTGTCATCTTTGGTGGAGTAGGTATTTTGAACCCATCATGCTGAGCCCTGTGGTCAAATTGCCACAGTCTCCACAACAAAAAGTGGTAGACATCTATGGCACCACGTCAGACCACACCTGATCTTATAGTTAGTTCCAAGTTGAAAATTAGATGAGACATATTTTGTCCATACTAACTCTGTTCTCTTTTTCAACCACGTCAAAGAATATGGTTGGGCATGCCTCTGAGTTGTGAGACTCAGTTTGTCCATCATCTATGTAGACGTCATTTTCTTGCTGCTCCCTCCATCGATTATGAGACTGCATACATTTTACTTCATAGTACAATGAGTGTATAATATGTTGTGGCAAAACCACTGTTGATCTCTCGTAGCCTCAGTCGGTATAACCCGTCGAACTACAAACGTCTTGGCCTCATCTTGTGGAAGTTGTTACTCCTCACTATTTTCTTTAGTTGTCTCTTCTTCGCTAAATTCTTCCACTGCATCCTTCTCGGTGAAGGCGACAACTCGGCTCATCGACCAATTGGATACAATGTGTCCAAAATCATGACATTTAAAATATTTTATGACTGGGACTGTAGTGGGTGTACTGCTCTTCTCAAACTTCTTCTCACTATGGTTAGCTCTATTATTTTGCTGACAAGGTTTCTCAACTGCCTTCGACGTCCTATTGATGTCTCAAACTGTGGGTGGTTATCTGAATGGCGGTGGGTACCTGTTTTGCTTCTGTTGTCTCTTCACCTTCAATGCTAAGGTTTGAATGTCACTCAAGGATCAGTAAGGTTGTAGTTGAATCACGTTGTCAATAGTGGGCTTCAAACTCCCAAATACCTGGTTATCGTGAGCTCAACTTGCTCAGTCAGATCATTTTTCAGCTTAAGCTGCATAAACTCTGCTGTGTACTCTTCCACTGATAGGTTCTGCTATTGCAGGTGGGGGCTTAAGAAAAAAAATCCTTTCCTCAATATCAGTGAGCTTTTGTTGTACACGAAGGAGTTCCCAATGCATTTCTTCTATGGTAAACTCCTTATCAGTGTTTGACGATTGTCTCCTCGGTGGCATGATTAGGGTTTAAGGCCGGAGGGTTGAAATGGTGTGTATGGTTGATGTAGGGTGGAAAAGAAAATTTTTGGGTGGCCGGTTTGAAAAAATTAGTAAAGGCGAATGGTGTTGAATGGAGATAGGGTTGGTTATTAGTGGATTCTAGAAATCCTAGGATAGGACTAAGGTTAGATTAGCTCTGATCAAATAGTACCTGAGCAAAAATAATAAACAAACAAATATTATTACTTAAAAAGTCAATAGGCGGTTACACTTAACATACGGAAACGAAGTAACAACAACATGACACACGAGTATGGTATATCTCGGGTGGTGGTGGTGGTGGCCATTAGCGGGCTTGGAGAGGCGGCAACAAGGTAGGGATGGGGTGAGATTGCAAGGGATGAAGGACATGACGGTGGAGGTTTGTTGTTATGGGCAAGAATACACGAGAATAAGATGGAAACAACTGGAAAACAACGAGATAATAAGAGGAGGATTTTGGAAGCTGGCAGCATAGGCAAATTGCAGAAAACAGTTCAAATGGGTTGTTTGGCGGCTGCAACAGGGAGGAAAATGGCAGTAGCAAAGGAAAGGTTGCGGAGGATGGGAAAGTTGAGGATAATCACCACATCAGAAGTTGTTGTATACAACCCTAGAAGAGATGACTTGGAGATTTTGACTGTCTTCACAACAAAAAACACACGAAAAATTAGTCCTAGAACAACATAAACATAAATATATAATAATAGGATAAATAGGAGTGGGCCCAAGGGCCGGACAACACTCCACAAAACTATCACGTCTGGACTGAACCGGTCCAGGCGAGCAGGCGCTCCACACGCTTACGTGTGGGAGGTTTATGTTCCGTTCCCGAGCTGCGACACCCGCGTCGTAATGTTTAACCAAAAGATGAGGACAATGAAAATAAAATTGAACCTTACCTACCATCTGCTCGTTCTTTGTTACTCTGTATTTAAAGGTAACATGATTATTTAAGCCATTTAGATTACCAACGCAGTTCTCACGGATCATGTATAGAAGTGGTTGGTCAATCAAAACTGCATGAACCAGTTTTTTCCTTGTACGTGTAATTACATTTTCTAAGAGTTCCGGAACGTTTGCTATTTGGGGCATTTACATACATGCCATCTACTTCTTATGTATTTACATACCTTGCACCTAAAGTTTAATTTTTACATTTATTCCACCCAAATATTTAATATTAGACAAAAACACCATTATTTTAACTTTTAGAAATTGAAATACTTTTCATGCATAGGGAAGGTGGCATGTATGTAAAAATTGAAGTTTAGGTGTTTGATAGGTAAATACATAAGACTTTAGTGGTATACATATAAATTTTCCTTAATATTTTCCTTTCATTTTAAGGTTGTACTGGCATTTCATGAATATGGTGGAAAAGAATCTGGTGATATGGTTATTCCTCTTCCCAAATGGATCCTGGAGATCGGGCAAGATAATCAAGATATATTTTTTACAGACCACGAAGGAAGGAGAAACACGGAATGTCTTTCTTGGGGTATTGATAAAGAGCGCGTCCTAAAAGGGAGAACTGGCATTGAGGTAATTGCCGGTGCTTCTTATATGGTTGATTTATCATCCTTTTGGCATATATCGTTCTACATTGTAAAAATCCATAGCTTTTGTGCATGTTTTTGCAAATTTAAGTTTTATAGTATGATCAATATGTGCAGGTTTATTTTGATTTCATGAGAAGCTTCAGGATGGAATTTGATGACTTATTTAAGGAGGACCTAATTTCTGCCATTGAAATTGGACTTGGTGCTTCTGGTGAGCTGAGATTTCCTTCACATTCAGAAAAGATAGGGTGGAGATACCCTGGTATTGGTGAGTTTCAGGTATTTCATGAAATTTCTTAATCATGCTGCGATTAGTTATATGGTCTAGCTTTGAACTATATGCAACTTAATTTACTTTTCCTTAAATTGTTTTTACCAACCTTAGTGTGGCATTAAGATTTAATTTCTGAGCCAATAGTTTATTTTTGTTAGTAGAGTGGAATCTAAAACATATTACCCTCATTTTTTATAAATTATATTTTTATTTTTATTTTTTTATTTTTAAAGCCATATTTGTTTAATGTGTTTTTTTATATGTTTTTATTTTTTGTTTTTAAAAACAAAGTGTTTAGTGTTTTTAAAGAAAATCATATTTTAATCAAATAAGCAAACATGTTTTGTTTCAGAATCAAAACATAATTAAAAAAAAAAACTTAAAATTAAAAGTGATCCCAAACAACTCCTAAGGATCTAAGTTGATCCCATCAGTATTTGGATACTCGTCATCGTAGAAGCTTAAGCAAATATGTACTAGTTACTATGAATATATGAAGAATCCAACTCTTGCTCACATCCAATGAAGGACTAATTTTCACTATTACATAGATCTCAATAATCTTCTCCTTGTTTGAAAGCCTACATAACTCTCCTTCAAATCAAAGCTTTCAACATTGTCCAGTGTCAAAATCAAGAGTCCACTCAAACCCATGAATCTTTTGTGTAAATAATCTTCTTTAGATCTTGCTTGGCCATGATAGAAGCCATCATGAATCGTGAGAGCCACATACTCATAAACTATGGTGCTACTTTTTAGATTTTGGAACATTGGGGTTCAGGTTGAGCCCCATATATCTAATAATGGGTGTCCATCAATTCAGAAAGCTTAGGGCTTACTTGGGATCAATTTTATTTTTTATTTTTAAAATTTAAAAATATATATTTTCTCACTGTGTTTTTTACAAGGTTTTTTTTTTTTGTTTTTAGAAATAAATTAATATATTTTTGAAAATATTCAGAACAATATTTTGGTGTTTTGTTTGTTTTTAAAAAGAATCACATCTTAATTAAATATGTCAAGCATGATTTGTTTCAAATCAAAATAAAATAAAAACAAAAAAAATAAAAAATAAAATTAATTCCAAACAACCCCTTAAACTAATGGATACAGATCATTATTTCTATATAACCAATTTGGATTTTTTGGACTCCCATGTACTTCTCACAATTTTGATCTTTCTTATGAGTCCCTTGTTCGATTTCATTTTGCAGTGCTATGACAAGTATATGCAGCAGAATCTGCGAAAAGCTGCCAGGATTCGTGGACACTCTTTTTGGGCGAGGGGCCCTAATAATGCTGGCCATTATAACTCAAGGCCTCACGAAACGGGCTTCTTCTGTGATCGTGGCGAATATGACAGCTACTACGGACGATTTTTCCTTCGTTGGTATGCACAAACCCTATTCGACCATGCTGATCAAGTACTATCTCTTGCAAGCCTTGCCTTTGAAGGAACAAAGTTAGTTGTAAAGGTATGTTCTTACTTTCTGATCTATCATAAAGCTCTATACTTGGTCTTTAATATTTACCAGCCTTGTTAAGGTCATTTGATAGGAACATTATGATTTTAAAAGGAAGATTTACATATTTATTTACATAGCTGACATCTGAACTTCAATTTTTACATACTTACCACTTTACCTATGCATGAAAAGTTGTGTTCCACTCTTTAAAATTTAAAATGGTGGTATTTTTTATCTGATATAAAAGATTTGGGTGGTATAAATGTACAAATTATAGTTTTGGTGTTAGATATGTAAATTCATAGGAATTGGGTGGTATGTATGTAAATGCCCCTTTATAAAATAACTCTAAATGTTGATGATTACAAGAATGAGCATTTATGATCAAGTTAAGTGAGTCTATAGGGAATGTTAGGCAGGGCAGGGTGCCTACAGTATGACAGCGCCATCTTTCATTTTACACCATCAGCATGGCCAACTGTGATGCAAAATGTGTTCTTGGATTTGTAAATTTTGCATGAGAATTCTTTTATTTGACACAGTTGGAAAATTCATATCTTCTTTTATTGGGGATCTTCCTTACTGAATTCCTGTGCAGATTCCATCAATTTATTGGTGGTATAGAACATCAAGCCATGCTGCAGAACTAACAGCAGGATATTATAATCCTACCAATCAGGATGGTTATTCTCCAGTTTTTGATTTGCTTAAGAAGCATTTTGTAACGATAAAGTTTACCTTGGTTAGTCAAACACCGGGTTCTTTGCTCGAGACTGATGAAGCTTGGTCTGACCCAGAAGGTCAGAGTTGGCAGGTGAAGTTAGTAGATTTCTTTATACATTTTATGCGCCTAAAGTTCTGCTGTACGTGTTTTTTTTAGAAGATTTACTTACATACCACTCAATGCTTATGGGTTTACCTTTCTAACACCTACTCCTAAACTTCATTTTTTACATACACACTACCTTATTTTTGCATGAAAAGATGTATTTCACTTTTTAAAAGTTAAAATGGTGGTAATTTTTATGTGATATGACAGAAAAATTTAAGTTTTAGGTACGTAAATACATAGGAATTGGGTGGTATTTATGTAAGTTCCTCTTATTATTATTATTTTTTTTCCTGATTTCTAACCAAGCACATTATTAATGCCAAAATTTATAGATTCTCAATTCAGCCTGGGATCGTGGATTGAGTGTTGCCTGTCAGGGTAATTTCCAGTGTCATGAAAGAGATGTCTGCATTAGGGTCATCGAAACTGCAAAGCCGAGAAATGATCCTGATCGGCATCATATTTCATTTTTCACTTATCAGACTCTTTCACCTGTTTCCATGCAAGGTGATTTATTCTTATCAGATTTGGACAGCTTTATCAAATCCATGCATGGTAAGTTGCAACATCAGTAAATTACTATTATCTTGCTGAACTCCGAAGTTTTTACAATCATATCTAATTTTTATTTTCAAAATTTTCAGGCGATCTTTTGTCTGTTGATGTTGCAGTTTGAAATTTCAATTTGTGCATTTTTCCATACAAATGAAAAAAATGAGTAGAGTTTCAGTCACTGATAGGAAGGAACATGAACCTTATTTATTCCATCTTTTTATTTCTTAATTTTGCAGTTCTAGCAGTTTCATTGTTTGTTTTTATTACAAGATTGCCCATTCAAGTGTATTGGGTGTGAGTCCTTTATATGACTCTAGTTTGATCTTTGCTTTTATTCTAGAATGCAGTATGATTTGTGTACGAAATGCATCTTATACAAATTGACGAACATTGACTATATTTTAGTGTTAGTAGTTGAATTTTTTTATCTTCATGACTGTAGTGGTAGCTGGTATTGTCGGAAAAGAAGTGATATTCTTTGATTTGAACTGTTTGATTAGGAAAGTGACATGTCACATAATATTAATGAACAATAAGTTTTTTTTTTTCCTTGTGAATATGATAGAGTTGTATAGAATTTGAGAAGGGGGACAAAATAAGTGTCTAGGTTGTGAATATGATAGAGTTGTATAGAATTTGAGAAGAAAAGGGGGACAAAATAAGTGTCTAGTTGTCCTGTTTCTTGCTGATGTTAATTGCTGCAAGCTGCAGTAAAAATAGTGGATTAAGGATCAAATGAAAGATGATTCATCGCTTGATTATTTGGCCTAGAGTATTATAAAAGAATAAAGGGAAATTTACATACATGGAACACAGTTCTTATGTATTTACATATCTCACACCTAAATTTTCATATTTACCTAAATTCCTAAATTTTCATATTTACATACATAGCACTTTGGTATTTTAAACCTATGCATGAAAATGTATATTTTACTCTTAAATAGTGGTAATAGTGCTATTTTTCATGTGATACTAAAGATTTGAGTGCTATGCACGTGAATATGAAAGTTTAGGTGTGAGGGATGTAAATAAGTAAGAATTATGTGCTATGTATGTAAATGCCCCAAGAATAAATTCATTGTAAAATGGATGCAATGTTGGATTGAAAAACCTCTGAAGACATGAATGACAGCATGAAAGGAAAAAAACATCAGTATAGAAAGATTTATTTTTATATTAGAAGACATTTAGTATGAATTGTATGACATTTAAATGTGAATATAAGATAATATTAGGCGGGGTTATTTTTTTTTTTTATAAAACTTAAATGCCTTGTAGTCTATACTAAATGTCATCTTATGTCAATAAATGGTTCGCCATTTTGATATGGCTTTTATAATTTTCAATTGATAGGATGCTTTAGCATAGCTTGAGAAATGAAGACTCTTGGTATAGCGCAGCTATTTGGACCACTTCATTATTTTTCGCTTAAAGAGAATTGGATGGATGGATGGATGGATGGATGGATGTGTGTATGTGTGTGTAGAAAAAAAAATTCCAAAGGAATAGATAGAGTTGCCTTAATGGTGGAAACTTGCTAGTTATCAAGTCTGTTGCTCGAGTTGAAATGTTCGCCGGTTGGGATTTTATCTTTATTGCATAAATGTGGGTGCTTAGGACATTAAAATAGGCTGTTGGAGTTTCTAATTGCTGTCTGCATGGTTATGCCACATCAGTTTTGAAAATTATGTAAAATATGACTAAAAATAATTTCTAGAAATACCCATATGCAGACTTATATGGCATGAGACTTTTCAAACCTATATGATCAAAATGACTTCTAGAAGTTATTTTGATCATATAGATTTAAAAAGTCTCGTGCCAATGTGGACATAACAATATTATGAGTGGAGGGAAGCATGGATGTGCATCCATGTCAACCTTAAGATTTGCACTGCATATGATGAAAACTATGTCAAAAATATGATAGAAAAGAAAATGTAACTTTTGTGTAATGAGATTTTTTGAAAAATGATTTGATCGTTTGACTGACATTGGTCTTGATAAAGTGTAAAAATGAGTGGGACATTTCATCAATTGGTAGATTTGGGACTTCATGTTAAAATTGAGATTTTCACACCTCGAGGTTAATGATAAACATGCATCTTGCTACCTTTATTAGTATATTGTGGTGCATGGATAATAACATGATATATAAGATTTTTGGGAAATTATTATTATTATACTTAACTCACGCATACACTTATATGTGTTAGGCTTTAAACTCTAGACCATATAATTGCATATAAATCTATCAACTACTAGGCCAAATTTGCTGCACAAGGGGATATTAATGATTGAGTTTGTGATAATAAGCCATAACTATAGTTTTATTAGTACTTTGTAAGTAATGGTTGTAATACTAGACCTAGAGTTAGAATGACTGGATATGAAGATGACTTTTCTCCATGCCTATTTGGTGGAGATTAGCATGAAACTACCATTAAAGTTTGAAGTTTCATTAACAATGAATTAGGGGTATACTAAAGAAGTTCTTACAAGGCATAAAGCACATTCAGGCAATGTTATAAAAGTGAAAATTTCATGTTATATACATCAGACAGCTTCCACATAGATTTTATGTGTATCTTCTGTTTTATATGCTAATTATAGTGAGAAATATATCACAAATCTTGAAAAATGGAAGTTCATTTGAGTACATCATTGGACATGAATGATTTTAGTGCTGCAAAGAAGTTTCTTAAGGATGTATATAATGGGAAATAGAAAGGCAGACACCTTATGATATGCATGGATCTGATTGTAGTGTTAGGTGATATTTTGATTCAGATTATGTTTATCCTGAACGAAGATCTCATATTGGGTATATCTTTAGTCTTTATGGTTGTGCAATTAGTTTTAAAATTTATCCTTAGCATATTTAAGGTGTAATATGTTAAATTTTGGAATTATCAAATCCTGATGTTGGCATGATTTAGTAAATTTGCTTAGTCCATTCTCATACAGACCCTTGGAGATTTATTCAGTGAATAATTCTATTTCTCTCCTTATATGAAAATAATTGTTCCAATTTTAGTGGGGTATTTCCTACTACACATTAATGTTGATAAGAGGATTTGATATCTTTTTGTCAACTCTTTTCAATTTTACTATATTTTTTGTTTGAATTTTTTATCTCTTTATTCTGCAAATGTAGATCAATCTTTACTAAATCACTAATCATGGTATTCTTATCTCTATGATTATTTTAATATTGGGAAATTTATATACATAGCACACAATTTTTATGTATTTACATACCTTAAGACCTAATGATACTGGAACTAGTTATGAAATCAACGGAAACGAAAGCAAATTTTTATTAACCCTGAATTAGTGTTACAATACGACACAAACGGAAAGGGGAAATACAATAACAAATCAATCTCCAATATGAGGGCTATGTTAGCATCGATAAGGCGGCAAGGTGTAAGGGGGAAGGTGGAGGGCTGTCGAGCAGGTTGGAAGGCTGGTTGGTGGCTTGTTGGGGATTGGGAGAGTGGGGTAGCAGGGAAAACTATAGGGAGGGGTGGAAAAGGATGTTGGTTGATGGGAGAACAAGCCAGACAACAAGGGGAACTATTGTAGATGACCGGTAGGAGGCAGGTGGGCGGTCGGGAGAGCTGGACAGCAAGACCAGCAGCAAAGGGGATAGAAACTGGTAGAGAGGGTTGGACGGTAGGTTATGGCTAAGAGGAGGTTGCGGTAGAGGAGCTAAATGATTTGGGGAGGCAGGCGGCTAGAGGGAAGTGTTGTGAAAAACGACGACAATAAAGTGAAAAATGGAATGAGAAAAATTGCACGCAGAAAAACATCAGAGCTGCACACGGATTTACGTGATTCGGCAAATTTGCCTACGTTCACGGAGCTGCAGAGAATTTTATTTCTTTGAGAAATTACACCGTGGAGCGCCTCGACGTTTACAAGAAAATCTTTATTTTCTTCTCTCCCTTCATCTCTTTCTCTTAGCTCTCAAGAGGGCTTGGCTTGGCTTCTCCTTGAAGCCAAAAGAGGCTATTTATAGAAACCATGAGAGCGGTAGGTAGGAGATGGATGTGAGGTAGGTGAGCGGTAGGTGGGATGTGGTATGTGAGCGGTAGGTGAGATTCGTAATTAGGAAGCTAATTAAATTTCGGTGGATCAGGTCTCCACATTACCCAACAGGAAGGGGAGGAGAAGGATTGGGGAAAATGATAGAGGAAGATGCAACACCACCTTGGAGCAGGATACAACTGAAGCACCACCTATCTTCGGATACGACCCTAGCAGGCAGAGGAGAACACTAAGAAAAAAATCTGAAACCAAAAAGCACATGCAAAACTGACATTAATTCCAAAAAACAACACTTAAAAAGACTCCAATGGGGGGAAATAACAAAGGAGGGTTCTCTAACAGAAAAGGAAAAGAATAGAGAGGGGAATCGACAGTCACCTGAACTTTGATATTTGAAAGCCACCCGGTCCAGCAGTGACGTGGACCAGTGCCCTATGCTAGCCGGTTCAGCCGACTGGCTATTCCCCATCTGCGCGGGAATACTCCCACACCCGCGTCACCTAAACTTTGATATTTACATACATTGCAATATGGCTTCTAAAACTTTTGAATGAAAATGTCTAATTGACTTTTAAAAAATGGTAATAATGCGAAGATTTGAGTCTTCTGTGTGTAAATATTAAAAGTTTAGGAATGAGATATGTAATTACATAAGAATGGTGGTGCTATGTCTGTAAATGCCCCTTTAATATTTTCAAAAACCAATTTGTGCGTTCAAGTCTAATTTTATTTCCCCCACCCTAATTTCTTACTTCACCACCCAAAAAAAAAAGAGTATTTAGGCTCTTCCTCTACAATGATGTGTTTAAATTAAAACAATACATGTAATTTAGATTTGATGACCAAGCATTCTAACAATTTATGTATTTACATATCTCGCCCTTTAAAACTTTTATATTTACACACATAACACTTGGATCTCTAATGTCACATGTAGTTTAAGTGTGACATATGTAAATATATAAGAATTGTAGGCTGGACATGCAAATTTTCTTTTTGTTATTTTATTTTGGCAAGATTGTTCCAGAAAACCACTTGTGAACTAAAGCTTTCTTTATCTGCATAATAGAAATATATGGCTAGAATTATTCTGCTCGTTTAAAAAAAAAAAAAAAAAAAAAAAAAAAAACAGAAGAGAGTTTGCTGGAGAATTTTATTTTTATGGGTCATATATAGTTTTCGATTCGTTTGAAATTTAGTTTGTTTGAAATAAGCTCGTATTCGAAATTGTTCGTGAAGTCACTGTTCGTGTTTGTTTCTTAACAAACGAGTCGAACACGAGCCGAACACGAGTTGTTCTCGAACGACGAGCCTGTTTGGCATCTTTAATATTAATATATATAAATAATATAGTATC